GCAGAAGAAAGCGGAAGATGAGCGCAAGCGGAGGGTAAGTTTTCTCATTGGAGGATATTTTCCAAATCTTCACGCTACCAGTTTCTGAATTCATCTTTCGCGTTTCAGGAGTTACTCACGCTTCAAATACAACAACCGTTTTTGGCCGCAACAATTCAAGCTCAAGCGCAGGCCCAAGCACAAGCACAAGCAAACAGCCTGATCTCAAACCAGCACCTGCTTACGCAACAAAATCTTCTATCGCAGCATTTCTCTGCACAGAATCTCTTGAACCAGCAGGCATTGCTTCAACACCAACAGCTACTGGCAGCGCAAAAGTTCCAAGAGCTTGCTCAAGCTCAGCGCACTCTTGTTCAGCAGCAACAAAATGCTGCCCAAGTTACTGCGCAGCAAGCATTACCGGCGGGAATATCACCAGCTTACCTACAGCAAGCACTCGGTCAAGTACAGGTACCAGTTTATTAATTTTCCTGGAAATCTTTTGTTCGAAACGTTTCAATCTAGGGATTGCTACCCGGAGCTGCTGCATCAGTGCCTGGTTTCACTGCTGCTGCGCCGGTGACTAGGTGGGTTACGCTGTTCATCGGTCTTTCTTGTACATTCTTGCACATTTTCTGCAGCCTCTTTGTTTCTTTCGGGCATTATTTGGTTCCCTTGTTTCCAGTTTTTTCACGAAGAAGAGACTTCACTGTTGTTAAGATTTTCTTTTTTTTTCACAAAGACGGACATCACTGTAGTTAAGAGCAGTACAGATGTAGACAGGCGTTCAGCGCTAGGCCGATGTTTGCGTTTCTCGGCCACGGACTGCGATGACCGGAAGAAGGTCGAAGGTGGAGGCCCGACTTATGGGTGTGCAAACAACACCCAAAAGGGTCTTATGGCTCGTCCGGTTTACGCATAAATGTACCTTGAACTTGCATCATATATGTCGTCGTTCCATTCGTGCAGATTTCATTGGAAGCTTCTGGCTCCCGTTCATGGCATGTTCACGTGTCATGCCTTTTTTTTCTGTTTTTGTTTACTATTGCAATTAGTATAATCAATACAACTGCAGAAGTACAAGTTCGAAATAAA